GTTCCACTGGAACCACTTTAACCTTTGGTTCCGGAACATTGCCATTAGGGAAAAACACCGTCTACACTGTCATCAACGTTGCTTAAGGTACTTTTCGGGTGTCCAGTCCATTAGAACCAAAACGCACTCAAATTATTCGGGATTTCATGTTGCATAGCGCAGCTAACTGAGCACCCGACAACTAGGGCCCATCATAACAGTAAAGGAAAAATCAGTATTATCAGTATATTGAGGGATATGTAGGTAGTGTAGTGGTTGCAGAACTATTGTATCTCAGACTGTTGTTGAGGCCAGTTGTCCTGAGTCATGGGATGGAAAAATAGGAACAGACAGTGAAAAAACTCCTTAGGGTTTTTTAGGAGACAAACTGTCGCTCTTGTGGGGGGGGAATGTGGGGGATTTAGGAGAAAAAAGTGCGTGGTTATCCTTAGGCGTGATATTTTTCTGGAAAATACATGGCCTTTAAAGTTTATCGAGGAAGTTATCAAGTTCTGGTATTGCCTCTCGCAGTCCTTTGCGCCTCCTCATAGCTGTAACAAGTTTGCCTGACTCGCTGTTAGGGACTAAAGGATCACCCGGGAAGAGTTGCCAATGATCGAAATGGCATTGAGAGAAAGCGCGGCCGCCGGTGTTTGCGCGGAGTGCAGCGGTGAAGCCTAGGAAGGGTTATTATGAAAAAAAATAACGCTCTTACCGAAAGATTCGCTAACAGGGAGATGCGTCTTGACAATGGAAATTGCAGTCCCTGGAGCCTTCTCCTCGCTCAAGACTACGCCGCGTCTCTGATTGAGGACGCCGTATGCTCCGCCGATGGCATTATCAGGAGCCTGAATTTCGCACATGTACACAGGTTCCATTATCCTAGGCGATGCCGTCAGCTGGCTGGCAAGGAAACAACGCCTGGCAGTGGGAATGATTTGGCCACCTCCTCTGTGGATGGCATCGGCGTGCAAAACAACACCCTCAAGGTTGAAACGGATGCCACGCATAGCCTCGTTGCAGAGCACACCCTCGCGCGTGGCCCACTGGAATGCAGCCACGACGCTATCTTTGATATCATTAAGGCACTGAACATCCTTTGTGACATCTACCACGAGGTTAGGGCCGGTATCGTTCGGACCGAAACACCAAATATTTCGGGTGTCGGTAGCGTCCCAACCATGTTCATCAGTTAGCAAGTGTCCTCGTTCTTTTGGTTCCATTCTTGCAAACTTGTCACCCTTGTCCATTATGCTTGTCAAATCCTCGCCGATAGGTTTGGCTCGGCAAAACAGACGATTGTGTTTGTTGGGAGACTTCGAAAGGCAGTGCTGCGATGACTGGGCTGTGACTGTTTCTCTGTACAAGACAACGGGATCTGACTTTTTGATTGGAATACACGCGTAATTTTCCTCCAGATCCTTCAGGCAGATTTCAAGGTGCAATTCACCGGCGCCGGCAACAATGTGCTCTCCTGATTCTTCCGAATAGGCCTAAGAGAACTTCGAATTTATAAGGATAACTAACCTGGACCAGAGGATCACTCTTTGCTAACCATTTCAAACCTTCGATTAACTTCGGCAGATCGCCTGCGTTTATGCACTCGACGGCAACACGAACGACAGGCGTGACGCTAAATTTCATTTGACGCATACTGTGTGCTCCGGCAAATGTCGTGATAGTGCCAGTCTTCACCAGAAATTGGTCAACACCAACCAGACCGCAGATATTTCCACAGGGAACATCTCCGATGGCTTCAGTATAACGACCCATCATCAGGATCGTACGCTGGATGTTTTTTTCGTACAGTTCATCCTTCTTGCCGTAGACGAAGTTAGCTCCCATAATTTGGACCTTCTGGCCAGTAGCGACCTTTCCAGAAAATACTCGGCCCAGAGCGTAGAAGCGACTTTTGTCAGAGGTGGGAACCATTTTACTTACA